GCACTCATGTGTAAGTGTGAGAATGTGGGCTGTCCTGCTAAGACACTTATTGGAACAACTGTTATTGGATGTTAGCAAACAGTTACACAGCAGACAAGAATAAACAAGAAAAAAAGTGACATTGCTCAGCAAAGTAAAAGGTTTGAATGAAAAAAAAAAACCTACAAAACAAAACAATATAGCAGAACATCAACCCTCTGCGGTGGTGTTTGCAAAGATAAAAGCCCAGATGACTTCACAAAGGCTGAAGATGACGGCACAAGTTAAAGAAAATGCAGACGCTAGTTTCCCAGCCTCTTGCTGTGATTGATGGAGGCAGCGAGATCAAACTAAAACTTCCTTCCTTCAAAATGTATTTTTGATAACCTTTTGTAAGTACTTATCCTTCTTAATCTGACAAATAACTATCTCAAAAATATTTATAAATACATAAAAAATGTGTTTGATTTGTTTGAATTATTCTATCTGATCTATGGATGTGGCATATGACYCTTTTCTATATAGACTATAACTATATCATTGTTTTATATAGCATGTGCTGATGTACAAAATTACAATGGTTACAAATTGTTAGACAAGAATGAACTAGGAAAAAAGAAAAAAAAATCAATCAAAGTCACCCTTGAAAAAAAATACACTGCACCAAACCTTTAGAATTACAAAAGTCACTTGTGCCAAATGTCTTGTGCCTCTGTGTGCACACCACACTGTTTTCGATCCTTTTTACAATATGACCATTATGCTGCAGGCAATTAGTAGTGACACTACATTTGGAAAACACATCTGCATTTCAGAGAATTGTGAATGTCTGCAGATTCCCTCATCTCCCCATGTGGTGCAATTACAATGGCTTGAGTGAAAGGAAGCCGCAAAGAAAGCTGAAAGGGAGGGAGGGCAAATATTACAAGAAGGTGACATGTAAAAGAGTACAGACAGCCGCTGCAAGGCTTGTTTAGAGCCCATTTAGGAATCGTGCGCTATTAATCATATTGTTTACAGTACTCTAGCAGCTACTGGCTTCCAGCAGCCCGAGGGATAGACACAGAAATGTTACAAATTCCCCTTACAGGCTGGAGCCCTGGTGAGCACACGATGCAGATCTTCAAGAAAATCTTTACCCAAACAAGTTATTGCTGGTCATATCAGCAGTTACAATCCAACAACCTGGCCTAACTTATAATAAAATGTATTTTTATRCCACAGTAGTGTGTGTGTGTGTAATTAACAAGCTAAAGTCCACCAATGTTGCCATTTTCCTGTAGGAAGGGTTGATTTGTTTCAGTACCTGGGACTCCACGTTGAAAAATTCATCCGTCACCCACAGCTCTCCTTCAATGAATCCTCCTCAATCTTGTTTCCACTGCTCTAAGAACAACCCACTCTCTTAAAACAGCCAGGCAAATTACACACACACCAGGGGCTCTGATGATTCTCTACTTAAACCCAAGAAGCAGAATTTGATACTGATAACTTACAATTTTTAGTGTAGAAGAACACAAACAGAAAGTTATCCCTTTCCCTGTTTTCAAACAGATGTGCTGTTTGTAACACCTAGAAGCAGTATATTTAAGTTTTTCAGACCATGTATGCCAGAACAATCTGCACTCAAGGACTTAATCTACACACACAAAAAAAAAGCAAATCCAATTCTAAAAGTTACCACAGGTATACTGTCTGTCTTTATCCCAATGGACCACAAGTGGTGGTCTTTGATAAACATCTAAGTCCAAGCACTTCTTATGGACAGAAATATGATTCTATGGAAAAAAWTTTCTCAAAGCACTCAATCAAAACAACTGTCCCTTGACTAAACACACTGGACGAGCAACTTTCACTTGAACCTGGGGAGAGATTTTCGAGGGCTTTAAGACTTTTGGACTCTCTCCCTAATATTGCAGGAGCTCGAGCGTGAAATAAAAGTAAATGGGAATACTGGAGATAGGGACATATATCTTTGTTTCTCTGAAGGCAAGGGGACAGAAAGTGGACTGAGGCAGGCAACACACACACACACACACACACACACACACACACACACACACACACACACACACACACA